GACATTGCAATCTCTCTTGCTCCTGAATTTTGAGGGTCCTCCTCAAAATTCTGCCCCAGTTTACTGGGCTGGCACTTCTGACAACTGCGCTGAACGGCTGAAAAAATCAACTTCGGAATTTTGAGGGTCCTCCTCAAAATTTTGCCCCAGTATACTGAGGTGGCATTCCTGGCGATGAATGGCTGAGAACTAACTTCGGAATTTTGAGGGTCCTCCTCAAAATTCTGCCCCAGTTCCAATAGCAGGGGGAAAATGGAATTTTTATTAAATTGTGACCGAACCCATAGGGCTGCCTACGTATCCCCTCTTAAACGGGAATCAGGTCAGGCGTAGTTCTAATTACATCATCGTAAGAAATCATAAGTGGTTACACATAGTATCGTTTCACTGCATCTGAATTGATTGGCTTTGGCCAGACTTCTCCGTCCATCTCTGCAAGAATAAGGGCTCCTCCAGTTAGAACCCGGTGAACCATGTAAGGACCTTGCCAGTTGGGGGAGAATTTCCCCTTGGCTTCATCTTGATGTGGGAATATTTTCTTCAATACTAGATGCCCCGATGTAAACTTCCTTGGTTTAAATCTTTTGTTGATGGCTCTGGACATTCTGTTCTGATACAACTGACCGTGGCAAACTGCATTCATCCTCTTCCCATCTATAAGGGCTAACTGCTCGTAGCGACCTTTTACCCATTCTGCGTCGTCCAATTCTGCTTCTTGTATGATCCTCAAAGAGGGAATTTCTACCTCGGCGGGGATGACTGCTTCTGTACCATAAACCAGCATGTAGGGAGTTGCTCCAGTCGATGTGCGGACCGTGGTGCGGTATCCCAGCAAGGCGAATGATAACTTCTCATGCCATTGTTTATGACTTTCGACCATCTTCCCTAGTATCTTCTTGATATTCTTGTTGGCTGCTTCTACAACTCCATTCATCTGAGGCCTGTAGGCTGTTGAATTCCTGTGTTTAATCTTGAAGGTCTCACACATAGCTTTCATCAAGTCACTGTTGAGATTGGAACCATTATCGGTGATGATTGATTTCGGAATTCTGAATCGGCACACAATACGGTCACAGACGAAATCTGTGCCCGTTTGATGCGGCAGGCTCAATAGGTCCAATGACATCCATTCCCCAGGCGGCGAATGGCCACGGTGAGCTTGTTGCAGTAAGCTCGTTAGGGGGCACCTTTATTATGTCTGCATGTATCTGATAGCGATGGCACTTACAAACATACTGGATACAGTCTGTTTCCATATTCATCCAAAAATATCCTGCTCGAAGGATCTTCTTTGCTAAGACAAAACCATTCATGTGCGGCCCGCAGGTCCCTGCGTGCACTTTCGTCCAATAGTCTGGATGCTTCTTTTGCTTCGACACACCTTAGTAAACCCAAATCGGGAGTCCTCCTATACAGGATTCCCCCACTATGAAAGAAGTTGTTGGATAATCTCCGAAGTGTGCGCTTTTACGTGGCGTTGGCAAGTTCTGGGTATTCTCCGATTGTCAAGTACCCCTTGATGTCGTGGAACCATGGTTTTCCGTCCGCTTCTTCCTCAACGTGAGCAGAATAAGCTGGCTGATCATAAATCTTTACTGGGATGGGATCAATGAAATTTGTGTCTGGATGCTGGATCATGGATGATAAAGTAGCTAATGCGTCAGCGAACTCGTTGTGGACCCTAGGGACGTGCTGAAATTCTGTCTTTGTGAATCTTTTCCTTAACTCCTGGATGTGATGCAAGTAGGGAAGTATCTTAGTGTTCTTGGTTGCCCACTCTTATCGAACTTGATGTATGAGCAAGTCTGAATCCCCGATCACTAGCAACTCCTGAATGTTCATGTCGATGGCCATCTTGAGACCCAGGATGCAGGCTTCATATTCGGCCATATTGTTGGTGCAAAGGAATCTAAGCTTGGCGGATACCGAGTAATGCTGGCCAGTTTTTGATGCTAGGACTGCTCCTATGCCAACTCCTTTGAAATTTGCGGCTCCGTCGAAAAATAACCTCCAACCATCGTAGGATTCTGCAATATCTTCTTCTACAAAGGACACCTCTTCGTCAGGAAAATACGTTTTCAGGGGTTCGTATTCTCCGCCAACACGGTTCTCGGCAAGGTGATTTGCTATGGCTTGGCCCTTGATTGCTTTCTGAATCACGTAAACAATGTCGAATTCACTTAGCAAGATTTTCCACTTGGCGAGCTTGCCAGTGGGCCTGGGCTTCTGGAAGATATACTTCAGCGGGTCCATCCTTGATATGAGATAAGTAGTGTAGGCACAGAAATAATGCCTCAATTTCTGAGCTACCCCAGCCAGAGCACAACAGGTGCACTTTAATAGAGATTACCGGGCCTCGTACAGGGTGAACTTCTTACTGAGATAGTAGATGGCTTGCTCCTTTCTCCCCGTTTCATCATGTTGTCCCAGAACACAACCGAATGCTCCATCCAAAACCGCAAGATAAAGCAACAGAGGCCTTCCGGGCTCGGGCGGAACCAAGACTGGTGGCGTTGACAGGTATTCCTTAATTCTGTCAAAAGCTTTCTGACAATCGTCAGTCCATTTAGTAGCAGCGTGTTTCTTCAACATTTTAAAGATGGGTTCACAAATGACTGTGGACTGAGCTATCAACCGGCTGATATAGTTGAGTCTTCCCAAGAAACTCATCACGTCCTTCTTGATCCTTGGCGGTGGCAATTCTTGAATGGCTTTGACCTTTGATGGGTCCAATTCTATTCCGCGCCGACTCATGATTAAACCCAGTAATTTTCCAGCAGGAACCCTGAATGCACACTTGGAGGGATTCAGTTTCAGATTGTACCTTCTCAGTCTGTTGAAGAACTTTCTAAGATCTTCCATATGATCAGTGGCCTTCTTGGATTTGATGATGACGTCGTCCACATATACCTCAATCTCCTTGTGTATCATGTCGTGGAAGATAGTGGTCATGGCTCTCATATAGGTGGCGCCAGCATTCTTCAACCCAAATGGCATCATTTGTAACAATACATTCCCCACGGCGTGATGAAAGCCGTTTCCTCTGCATCTTCCTCATCCATCCATATTTGATGGTATCCGGCGAAACAATCAACAAAAGACTGCAACTCATGCTTGGTGCAGTTGTCGATAAGAATGTGTGTGTTTAGCAAGGGGAAGCCATCTTTGGAACTAGCCCGGTTAAGATCCCGGTAGTCGACACAGACTCTAACCTTCCCGTCCTTCTTTGGTACTGGCACGATGTTGGCTAACCATGTTGGATTCCACTACCCTGAGAACCTTGGCTTTGACTTGATTAGTAAGCTCTTCTTTGATTTTCAAACTCATGTCGGGTTTGAATTTCTTGAGCTTCTGTTTTACCGGCGGACATGTTGGATCTGTTGGCAGTTTGTGAGCTACAATGGACGTGCTGAGACCAGTCATATCATCATACGACCAGCCGAATATGTCCTCATATTCCTTTGAAAATTCTGTGTATTCTTCCTTTTCTGATGGCGACAGGTGAACACTGATGCGAGTTTCTTTGACATTTTCTGTATCTCCCAAGTTAATGACCTCAGTTTCTTCCAGGTTAGACTTAGGTCTATTCTCAAAATTCTCAACCTCTATGACGACCTCTTCAGGTATTTCATCTTCTTCTGAGTCTATGTCCTTTTGCCCGAAGCCTTCTGGGCCCTGACGGTTCTAATTTACCAATTGCTGAGGCGGTCTCCTCGGTTCACCGCTTGAATGGAAGGGCCTTCCTCCCCTTCCTCCTCGAAAAGAACACAGCAATCCATATCATCATCCTCCAGAAATACATTCTTCATGGCTGCCAATGCTTCATCTTCTTCTGACCCATATATAGTATCTGCCGGTTGGAAGGTCTGCTCCAAGATAGGTATCGGAAGCTCCAATAGATACTAGGGGCCGCGCCGTGGTGGCGACCAGTTCTGGAATTCTTCCCAAGTATAACCGTACCGTAAACCAAATGTAGTACCGTGTTTCTTCAGTTTGATAGGTTTGGCGATTCCCTGGAGGTTTTTGCCGAGTCCCTTTCCAGGCTCGTACCCACACCAATTCAGGATACTTTCGATCTTGTTATCCCACCACTTATCCTTATCTACGGCGTTCACCCTTTCGATGTGGTGGTATGTTTCTCCGCCTATTCTCCTTCTGCTTCCAATCATTGGGATGGTTTGATGACTATATATGGGGTTACTACCATCGCCATGAATAATCACCTCCTGGTGATTCCATTCGAACTTCACTGCCTGATGCAGGGTCGATGTTACGGCTCCAGCGGCGTGGATCTAGGGTCGTCCTAACAGCAGGTTGTAGGATGCCGGGACGTCTATACTTGAAAGTCAACGTCGAACCATGTTGGCCCCATTTGTAAGCATAGGATGATTTCCCCAATAGTAGATCTCTGGGATCCATCGAAGGCCTTGACATTGATAGCCCCATCTTTGATCTCGTGCAGGCTTTTTCCCAAAGTTCTGAGAGTTATCTGCGGACAGATGTTGAGGCTGGATCCTCCGTCGATCAGGACCCTAGTGATGAAATAATCCTCGCATTGCACGGTGATGTGCAGTGCCTTGTTGTGGCTCAATCCTTCCGGCGGCAGCTCATCTTCGTGGAAGGTGATTTTATGGCTCTCTGGCACTTGCCCTACCATATTTGCCATTTCACCCCCAGTTATGTTGCTGGGCACATAAGCTTCACTCAGTATTTTCATCAGGGCATTTTTATAAGCGTCAGAGCTCTGTAGAAGAGCCAGGATAGAGATCTATGCCGGTGTTTTGTTCAACTGCTCAGCGACTGAGTACTCCTTAGCTTGTATTTTTCTCCAAAGATCGTCGGGCCCAGTTTCAATAGGCCGTCCTGGGGCTTGCTTACTGGACTCAGCTAAGTGTTCTAGGGTGTAAACCCTCCCTGTTCTGGTCATTCCTTGTGCAGCAATTGTTTCTCCTGTCTCGGTCTTCCCTTTTCTCCTAGCTTCGGCAGTGTAATCCCAGGGTATGGCTTTTGAGTGGAACGGTGTTATGTCCGACATTGTCACAGGAATAGGTACCCTTGGTGGTAACAGAGCAATTTCAAAGGGTTCAGGTGCTTTTGGAACTCCAAATTCGACCTCAATTGGCCCGGGCGCCTTTGCAGAATGAGGCGCTACAAATTCAAGAGGAATAGGCATGTTTACTTCATCGTCCCTAGAGGGCTGATTCTGCACAACAATTGGGTTAGGTGTAACCGTTGGTTTCTTTGGTTCATCACCTTTAGCAATCAAACCTATCGACCCCTTGGGATTCCAATCATCTTCGATCTTGATCATGTGAATGTCTCCACCTTTGTGGTCAGGCAGAGGGTTGTTGCAAACATTAGGAGGATGCTCCTTTGCTACTATAACCTTATTGTCGATCAGGGTTTGAATCTTGTCCTTCAATGAGCGACACTCGTCAAGGGTTTGTCCCTTCATGCCGGAATGGTACGCACAAGTCTTATTGGGGTTGACCCACTGGAAAGGATTTTCTGGAGTTTTGGCTGGGATAGGAGTGACGTAACCAGCAGCTTTAAGTCTCTCGTACAGCTGGTCAATTGGTTCGGCGATGGCTGTGTATTGTCTGGGAGGTCTGCGGTCAAAATTTGGCCTAGGTCTAGGGAAATTTTGGCGGGTGGGGGGTGATTGGTAGTGAGAGGGTTGAGCATTATAAGCTTGGTAGACAAGTGCTGGTTGAGGGTATCTGGGTGAGGTGGGTTGATATGTGAGAGGTGGAGAGGATTGGTAAACGGGAGGTGGATTTTGATAGGAGGGTGTGGATGCTTGGTAATTCGGGATGGGCTGATATGTAAGTGGAGGTGATGGGTAGGTGTGGTATTTTGGTGGTGATTTGGCTCCCTGTGCGACGATTACGGCACTCACATCCTTCTTCTTGGACGTGCCTCCAGACTGTAGAGCCTTGTTGGTAGCCTGCAGTGCCTCAAAATTAGTAACCATACCGCTTTTAATGCCTTTCTCAATCCTTTCTCCTAGCTTGATGATGTCGGAGAATTTCTGGCCCTCTATCAGTATCAACCTCTCATAATATTGTGGATCCTAAGCTCGGACGAAAAACCTGTTAATCTGTTCTTCTTCCAAGGCCGGCCTGACCTTAGCAGCCTCTGATCTCAAACGAGTAGCATACTCGCGGAATGTCTCTGTAGGTTTCTTCTTCAAATTCTGGATGTAGAAGACATCTGGCGCATTTTTCTGTATTGAATCTGAACCTGTCCATGAAAACGGACGCCATCCCTACCCAGCTTGTCCATTTCTTAGGGTTCTGGCTGATGTACCAGGATAAAGCATCTCCCTTCAGACATCTCATGAAGAGCTTCATACGGATCTTCTCATCCTTTCCGACTCCGACCAGCTTATCGCAATATGTCCTCAGGTGGACTCTGGGATCTCCTGTTCCATCAAACATTTCGAACTTGGGAGGTTTGTACCCCTCCGGAAGTTCAACATCTGGCTGAATGCAGAGGTCTTCATAATTTAACCCCTCGATACCTTTGTTACCTTCCACGCCCTAGACTCGGCTGGTCAACTTCTTGAGTTCTACCGCTAAGTTCCTGATAAGGGAGTTTTTGTCATCAAACTCTGGTGCATTCGAGATTGGTTGAGTATAATGGGGTACAGTATCCACATAAGTAGGAGTGTTGTGGAGATGGTCATTTGTGGTGTTCAGTGGCTCGGGAATGAGTAGTGAAGTGTTGTTCGGAGTGTGGCATGTGTTGCAATGTTGAGTATGAGTGGGTTGTATCTGTGGTTGTGGGGTGTTTTGTAGAGGTGCAGAATTCTGAGCATTGGGAAGGGGAAAAGACAGGAGTACCTATAAAGGTGAAACTATTTACCCTGCCCTACCCATTAAAGAATTCTACCCACTAAATAATTACAATCTCCTACCCATTTAATAAATAAACAGGAATATCAAAATAACTACCCACGCTTAATGCTCTACGTATAAAAACGCAAAAGCTACTCAAAATTTCAGAAAATCAGCGCACAAAATTGAGATTTCCACCGACATTCCCTAATTTAAAGATCACTAAGTGAGAAAAAAAAAGATCGAAGCTGCTGATTCGCATCTTCTTTTCAGATTTTGATTTTGTTGTTGTCTTCAGATTTTGATTTCGTTGTTGTTTTGATTTTAATTTCGGAGCTAAACTTCTGAATTATAGCTGAAAATTCTAATCTAGGTTTGGAGATCTTGAGATCTAGAGGTTTGATTTCGAAAAATCTGTTGCAGCTATATACTGTTGAAATTTCGAACATTGTTGATTTCGAACACTGTTGAAATTTGCATTGTTGAGATTAAATTTTGGACATAAAAGTGATTATAACTTCAGAATCATGGAAAATATTTCAATTATGCTGCAGCATAGTGGAGAATGGGATGATAACGATAATTTCATAAATTTTCATGTTGATACAATTCTAATAAAGACCTATAGGAAATTTGAACAACTTCTCCGAGAAATTGCAAAGCAACTGCAAAAGGACAGTAAAACAATAGTTATTCAGTATGCCATTGCTCAAGGATATCCACCAATTACAATTTGCACCGATATGAGTGTTAGTGTTTACATGGAATTGAAAATATCAAGTGCGGGGATGACAACACTTCCCCTGTGTGTGTCGTTTGCTAAAAACACTATAGTTGCAAGCAACTCCAGTTTCGATGTTGCTCCAATTTCATTAGAAATTGCAGAATTTGAAAGCACTGATATGATTACTACGTTTGATGTGCAAGAAGGAGATGACGCCATTTTATAACTTGATGATGCAAACATCATAACTGATCAATTTCATTAAAATGTTGAAAAAGGATAAATTTATGAAGACAAGAACCTGTTGGCTCTCGTTATGAAACAGTATGCAGTTAGAGAAAAATGTCAATATCGGGTTCATAAATCATGCCCAAGAAGGTTCGTCTGCATGTTTTCAAGTAAAAAACTATGTGATACCTATATAGTATATAAGTATGCTAAATCAGTATACTATGCGAGTATGGAATTGTATTGGTTTGTCTATGTTTTTTATCAGTGATACTGGTATAGTATATAAGTATGCTATATCAGTATACTATGCGAGTATATAACTGTATTGGTTTGTCTTTGTTATTATCAGTAAAACATAATACCAATATAGTATATATGTATGCTAAATCAGTATACTATGTGAGTATAGAATTGTGCTGCTTTGTCTATATTTTTTATCAGCAAAATATGATACTGATACAGTATATAAGTATACCAACAGAGTATACCATGTGAGTATATAATTGTACGGATTTTTGTGTGTGTATTTTATCAATAGAACATGATACATAACTGTATTTGTATTATAAACAGGTATATCCTTGAATGCGTGGATGAAAGATGCACTTGAAGACTTAAAGCATCAAGCCTGCGAGCATCAAATCTTTTCAAAGTGACGGATTTCAATTCTGTCCACAGTTGTTTAACTGACAAGAGATTTTGTTCACAAAAGCAAGCTGTCTCAGCTTTTGTTGCACCTGTGGTACAAGATAAACTTGTTGACCCGAAAACCATATATACACCAACAGATATCCAAAGAGATATCCAAAAAGCATATGGTATGGACTTAAGCTACATGCAAGCATGGAGATCAAAAGAAAAAGCAATGCAATTATTGAGACGATCACCAAGTGAGTCATACAAGAAAATGCCAACATATCTTTATATGTTAGAGTACGCTAACCCAGGATCAGTGACACGACACACTGAAGGAGATGGGAGCTTCTTGTATGCATTCATAGCTATATATGCATCGATTAGAGGATGGGTCTATTGTAGGCCAACAGTTGTAGTTGATGGAAGTTTTTTAAAGTCAACATATAGAGGGACCATACTCACGGCTTCCACGCAAGACGCAGAGGGTAAGAATACAATCCAATTACATTCAGTTAAAGAAACAAAAAATATTTTCAAATATTATATGATACCAGTATGGTATACAAGTATACCAACAGAGTATATAATTTTTTTGCCACACACATGCACCTACCTATGACTATACTACTATATGAAATACTAAATTAATATTTTGTGTACAATCCAATTACATTCAGTTAAAGAAACAAAAAATATTTTCAAATATTATATGATACCAGTATGGTATACAAGTATACCAACAGAGTATATAGTTGTTTTGCTACACACCTGCACCTACCTATGACTATACTACTATATGAAATGCTAAATTAATATAGTGTTTTGTAATTGATATTTTGTTCTTTGGATTAACAGGACAAATTCTACCCCTCGCATATGCAATTGTTGATTCGGAAAATGATGCATCGTGGGAATGGTTCTTCGTGCAGTTCAGAGAAACCTATGGACAAAGAGAGGGAATGTGCATTGTATCAGACATGCATGATGCTATATGGAAAGCAACTTTAATTGTCTATCCAGAAGTCCCTCATTGTGCATGTATGTTCCATCTGTGGAACAACATAAAGACAAACTTCAGGAAGAGCCAAAAACAAATCAAAGAAGTATATTTTGCGTTAGCAAGAGCATACACTGTTGAAGAATTCAACAGGCATATGGCAGAGTTAGAAGCTATTGATAGTAGAGTGAAAACATACCTGATGGATATTGGATATGATAAATGGTCTCAGGCGCATTCCAAGGCAAATAGAACCATGACCATGACATCGAATATTGCGGAATCAATAAATGCAACAAACAAGCACGCAAGAGACCTCCCAGTTGTGAATTTGCTTGACTTTATGACAACATTGATTCAAAAATGGAATTACACAAATCGGAAGGATGCAGTGGAATCATTTATGAAGATTGGTGCAAAGTATGAAAAAATATTGGCAGATAATACTATCTTATCACAGATGATGACGGTATGCATTTTCAAAATCATAAAAACACTGCATGTACTGTATTTTTACTTTTTTACCTTAGTGATTTCACTAAACAACTGAATATTGTTATTTAAAAAATACTATTACTTCATATAGCTAATGACTTTTCTTAATTAAAATTATACTTGGTGTTGCCATCAACTGAATTCTTACATTTAGTAATTGATGGCCAAACAAGAAATGTGGTGCGCCTACATGAAAGAAACTGCACTTGTGGGAGGTTTCAGCTAGACGATATTCCATGTCCACATGCAATGGCAGTTATACAAAAATTCCATATGGATTCATACAAGTATTACTCGGATTACTACAGCATAGACTACTTGCTGAAAACATATGAGATACCAGTAAATCCATTGCCTGATGAAACAACGTGGCAAATTACAGAACATGTATCTTCGTAGGTGGTACTGCCACCAAAAAGACAAATCAAACCAGGAAGACCTAAAAAGAAGAGAGGCATAGGAGGCTGGGAAGGAAATACAGTTACATGTGCACTATGCGGGAGAAAAGGACACAACCGGAGAACATGCCGAAATATTCCAAAGAGAGATTGATATAACGATTCAATGTTTTTATAGAACTCATATATCGTAGAATCATAGCATTTGAATTGCAAAGAAATAAAATGCATTTCATGCATTAGACAT